CATTTATATATATATATATATATATATATATATATATATATATATATATATATATATTAACTAAAACAATAAAATTTTAAGAACCAATCTGTTCCGTATGATAATTAAAAAAGGGTTATATTGTATTCCATGATTGAATGAGAAAAGAAAATACTAACACTCCGTGGCTAATAAGAATAACAAAATTAAAGATATGAGGCAAAAAAGGTAAAACAAACTTGTATCTATGATTTGTATGGTAGTTAAAGTTATAGTGTATGTATGTTTTGGTTTGCATGCAGTCTTTGTTTGGCAGCTTGGACAAACTTGTAGCACCTGATCGTCCATGCCACTGTTGTCTGTGGTAAGAATCTATAAGATTAAATATACTTGGCATTAAGAATGAATGTTGAAGTATAAGAAGAAATGGAGTTTTACATAATACTGAGTGAGATACAGGGTTGGCATCCTGGCATTTCATGAGGCGTTGGTAGAAGAGGGTCGCGATAGTTTGGTGATCGGTGCATTTAGCATAGCTGTCCATGGCGGTGGATCATTGTCGGAAGCAGTAGATATTGCAATGAAGATCTCACCTCCTGAAACCAGATTTCATGAAGTTATTATATCCCCTACCACATATTTATATTCTAAACATGAATTAATGGATGAGGTTGTAAGACTCGCAGCTTCTGTTAAAGCTGCATTACGGAGGCTCACAGATGACCACTTTGTTTCCCAGGCCCTCATTAAATACCCCCAAGCTCCACAATCCCATCTGGTAATCAATCAATCTACTACAATTCAATACATGCTCATCTCTCATCTCTCATCTCTCATCTAAATAAAAACTTGTTTCTTTTGTTTTGTATTTTTCAGGTTTTCATTTCATGGGCTCTATCACTAAAGGTATCCTCCATCTTTGACTGTGTCAAAAGGGGCAAAACTCGGAGGACCTTTCTACCAAAACAAGGAAATGAAATCGACTATCAATCATTGGCATCCGGCAGATTGGATGAAGTTAGGGCCATTTTTGGTAGGCTTGTTTTTGACACTCTTTACCCTTCCAACTTGCCACCTACAGAACACTAGCAGCAGACAAAATTCAGATTTAATAACTTGATTATTCATTATCATTTAAAATTAAGAAAAGTAAATTTCTATCATCTACTCCATTTTCTCTCTTTGTTTACCTATTAAAGGACTTCCAGGATTTGCGTGTGTGAGTGCTGTTTAGAGCTTTGGGTTTTTTAAAAGAAAAAATTGAATTAAAGAAAAAACTTTGTATGAGAATATTAGTTTTAAACATTTATTATAGAACAAAAAGTCAAAATTACTTCTAAGTAATATAGCCTATAAATCTCGTTGAAATTAAACCAAAATTTACTTTTTTCTCATAAACTCACAATCAAATTTGTCACACCTTTACAATATTACAATTATATTTCTCTTGTACACATCTCCTCATATACCCTTTCATTTTCTTTCCCTGTATTTAGGTGGAGCGATTTCATCCATACCACCCCCTTTCATTATATCCTACAAGGAATGAAAATTCAATCCCTCTTATTTCTCCCAACTCCCTCAATTTATTTATTTTTTAAATTAAGTACTTACTAATTTAAAACTAAAAAAATTAAAAAATATAACATTTTATTAAAAGAAAATAACATACTACATAAAACAGTAAAATGACAATTAAAACGGTAAGACATTTAAAAAAATACTAGTTTTCCAGAGTTGGTATGTAAACATAATCAATGCAATCACAAAGAGCCAAACAAAGTTGGTAGTGGATTTTTGCATCATGCAATTTGATATATGCGTTCACTTCATACTCAACATGAGGATCTATTAAATCATTTGTCATCAAACATATTTATATAAGAAAACTTGATTTGCAATGTATCCATAAAGATCCACATGTACCCACCTTAGTATTTTGGGGAGTTTGCTAATGGTCCACAATACTTGCGTTTTTCCTTGGTCATTACTCTTTTCAATACATTAAATTCATACCATATATACATACTTAGCAAAAAGGACCGATTCATGAACTCATAAGAGTTCCTAGTTCAATACGATTCCTGATTATCTAAGACATATTTATATGCCTAACACTTTGTCCCATATCAAAATCTTTTAGCTATAATAAAATGATATAATGAGAATTATTTCATAATATCGTATATTTAATCAACTTGGTAATATGACACAACAACATTGTTTTAACATCCTATAAATAGAGACATTAATCTTTCACTAATTCTTGAAACATTTACTTATTACCCATAATCATATCAAATATATAACACCACCCTCATCTATCATATTGTATAATATAATATAAGTGTACAATATGTATCTTATTATGTTCGACGACATCAACCGAGCTAGATATTGTATTATGCTCCAACGAGATTTTAGGATGCTAAATGCGGGTTCGACATCCTTTCTTGCTAATTCTGGTGCCGCTTTGAACCGTTTTTTCTCTGGATGTGGAAATGATTTCACAAAACTAGCACAAGTTGGGTATATCCCATCCGCAAGATAATAGCCATGTTTATATTATTCTCCGTTCAACATAAATGAACATTTGGGTGCTGCACCAAGATATTTATCGTCTAATAGTGGTGATTGGTAGAGGACGTTAAAGTCATTATTCTTAACAATTTTTTTTCAATGTCATTAAATAAAAACTCAAAGAACCGACACAACCGCGCAACCCACATCACCCACACACCCAACTTCACATTCATGTTCGTCTCTTTATGTGACATCACCACCATTCCCTTCCCTCATCATCCGTTTTTTTTTGCAAGGGTTGAACCTTTATATCTCTTTCATACGAAGACTATTTTAGTTGATTTTTTCATTGTGCTTTATGTAACATGGGTTATCTATAGAAATATTACACTCCAAAGTTAGAGGTCATAAAGTCGTATTTTGTAAGCTCTATATTAGGACGGTTGTGATGTTTTTAAAAACTTCCAAATAAAAGGGGATTGTAGGATTGTTGTTGTTGATATATAAGTGAAACAGTAACTAAAGTAATTACGGATGACATGGAGAGACTGGAGAGGTGTGATTAGTAAAGTTGTGATGAGGAGTGTCCAACACCCTGTTTCGAATCGTTTCATAATTTGGGGCCGTGACCCGAAGACCAATTATCATAAGACTTCAGGCCTTGAAAGAGAGATTTAGACCCTTTTGGATGTGGATAATGTAGATTAGGTGATCCGAGAGTTCGATTGGTGCTTCGGAGCCCAAGGGTATAACCGTAAAGTGATAGTTCGAGCCTTTTATGAATTTTGATTTAAGTTCGGTAAGCTTGAAGGCAAAAGAGAATTGATAGGGTTGTAGAGCTTCTCAACACCTTTCCGTGGATATAAAGATCATTAAAATCATAGTTGAAACGGAGAAGTTATGACCGTTTGAATTTAGGGCGGTTTTGGGTTGAGCCACGTACGTTGGGCATACTCAACGTGTATGTTGGGCGTACAAGAACATCCCTAGTACGTTGGGCGTAAATGGAGTACGTTGGGCTTACGCGATCAGTGCCCAAATCCTATTTTCGTGGGTTGAGCCCTATTTAAGCTTCTAAACTTCCCCAAACCCATTCCATTCTCAGCCTCCACCTCTCCAACACACTCTCTTGAAACCCTAACCCTAGTTTGATCATTGTGAGCAAAAAGAAGGTGTTTTTAAGTGCTTTGGAGTATTCTTAGAGAACCTTGGAGAATAAGGAACTCATTGTAGAAGTGTTGGTTGCATTGGAGCTTGTAGATCCATACTTTGTTCACCTTGATCTTTCTTCTAGAGGTATAAAACTTGAATCTTGATGTTGCATTTGTTAGATCTAGCTAGTTTTGGGGTGTTATGATCTTTTGTTCACTTTAGTGCATAAAGTTTAGATCTTGAAAGTTTGTGACCTTGTTATGGATAAAGTTGGAGACTTTATACATCTAAACATCATATTGATTCAGATCTAAAAGCTTGAGACTTGGACTTAATGGACTAATGTGACATCCCCAATTTCACGGCCAGAAAAGACCAATTTTGTTTATGCTTTATAATAAAAGCAGAGTAACTTTTTAAAGAAAGTGTTGTGGGAATTTGTTCCCATAAAAATATAGATAAGAATTTATCAAAGCATTTCTGAAGAAATGTATTTTCATTACATTACAAAACTCGTGATGTCATCGTCAATACAGATCAAAAGCATAAACCAAAAACAACATAGGCCTTACAACATTTCTATTTATTTCTACTGGCCTATAATCCATAATCTCTCATCAGATCATCGCATCTATGCTCTTGTGTCACTACCTGTAATACAAGAAACTGAGTGGGTCAGATTGGGGAGCCTAGTGAGCACATAGGGTTTTCAACCCACAATAAATAAGTTTATTATTTATTGTGGGTTGAAAACCCTATAATCCATAATCTCTCATCAGATCACCGCATCTATACTCTTGTGTCACTACCTGTAATACAAGAAACTGAGTGGGTTAGATTGGGGAGCCTAGTGAGCACATAGGGTTTTCAACCCACAATAAATAAGTTTATTATT